TCATGATAGATATGAAACACTGATATAGGTAAAACACATCAGGTGATGGAATAAGTCATACAGTTACAGGGTCAACAACAAATAGTTAGGAAAAAGAAAAAGGACCCCCCTCTCATGCTGTAACATTACCCCCCTCTCCAGATTCACTGTTTAGAGTTTCCATTGAGCACGATGTTCTTGTAAGTATCTGGGTTCATCGGTGGGGCAGGGAAGCTGTCCAGGTTGAACGTCGGTGGAGGTGCGGAATTTATGGTGAGGGTGCAGGAGTCCGCAGAAGGAAAACAACCAATGCCAACATTTACTCTGCAGATGACCATCAGTCTCACATTTAGCACAGAAACAAAGACGGTGGGGCATGGCCACAGAAGGGGGAGTGATGATGGAGAATTCATGTTGTTCAAGTTTTTCCTCCAGGTTGGTGGCTCAAAGCTGAGCTCTACATTGGTCCATTTCTCCTTGTGCACAAATGAGTTCCGCCTCTATGGATCATCGTGCAGCAAGTAGTAGGTCTATCTTGGTGTCGACAGCCCTGAATTGATCGACTTCATTGGCAACGCCAGGGTCCTTGATGTCTTGCAACAATGCCCAAAAGCTCTCCAACAGATTGTCGTCTCGCGTCAGCAAGTATTCCCAAGTGTTCTCCTCCCATTCCTTGTCCAAAGAGTTCTAATTCCCTACAGGTTCTGTGGCACAAAGTACATCTGCTGCGGTTGTTGAGACCTGTTGTAACCCAAACACTGGATTGCTGTCAATGGGGACGTCCATAGGTGGTTGGGTAATGGTGGTAGCATAGGCTCCAGGGAAGTATGGTAATACATGTTCCAAGGGATCAACATCCTGAACTGGGGTGGAGGTGTCGAAGGGAATGGATTACCAGTATGAGGTAACATTGTTGGAGGGTCATTAGATGATGTCATCACTGTAAACCACAAACTTCTGCGGGTCACTGCTGTGTCTCTCTGATGCTGTGATATATTCACTGACACTGGCTAGTAGTTGTAGGTTAGGGGCGTGGTCGAGGCTACCATTGTCAGAGACATCAGAGGCGAGAGGCAGCATGCTGGGGGAATCGGTCAACACAGCAAGGGGACTGTCAGGATTTGGAGAGGATGAGGTGTTTATAGGCAACAAGGATGGGAATACCTGTGCAGGGGCAATGTGGTAAGATCCAGTGGTAGCTTCTGAGGTGGGAGGGACTTCCAGGGGTCCGGGGAACTGGTGCAAGACTACAGTATCGCTATTGGAAGAGTCTGGGGGTCCTGAAATAAGGAACGGCCGGCGGGTGATGTTTGACAGGGGAGGCACAAAGGGATATTGGAAACCTCCTTCATCAAGGAATTCTAGCAAAGAGTCGTCAGATTCTTGCTTGGGAAGGGAAGCTCAGTATAGGCCAGATAGGAACCGGCATTTCTATTATACCAGCCATGAAACGCTCTTCTAACGCCTGGAGGTGGGAAGGGTAAGGAGTTGGTGCTCTCTGGGGACCAGTCATTGGAGAATTGTCATGCCTAGGAGCCAGAGGATGATGGTATGGATCCAAGTTAGAAGTCGCATTGTTGTTTCTGATGTGGTTGTTGTGCTCAGCAGGCATAGGGAAGAGACAGGAAAGGAGTTTTCTTGAAAAAACTAGACACAGAATACAAAGAACAGCCAGTACTACAGATAAAAAAACCCCCCAGACACTAATCTTGATGCTCCCTGATGTACTCAAAGTACACCTGCGTCGGGGTGTTGCTGTCGCGGTTGGCAGCGATGACAGGGAGGTTGGTGGTGGTATTGGGGAGGGGACGCTGGGCAGTGGCCGCGATGTTGAAGGCCCACTGGTGTTCCCTCTTGAGGTGGCGAAGGGTGAGACGAAGGGTGAGGGGGACAATGAAGGTGAGGGCGAGGACAGATAGGAGGGTGGTGAGGAAGAAGCCCAGGAGGGCTAGGAGGAGGAGTTGGGGGTGCTCGTTGATGACGGTGAGGGTGGCGACGGTGACAGGAGAGATTTGGTTCACCACTGAGGAGATCAGTAAAGGGAGTGGGAGTTAGCTTGACTGGAGACATTACTTGTACTCCTGTGGGCCGCTCGGGGGTTTGGTCGGCGATGGGGGTGATCGGTTGGCGAGTGAGGATAACTTTGACCTTGTAGGTCTCTTTGAAGTAAAGGAAGAGGAGGGTGAGGATGAGGATGAGGACAGTGAGGAGGAACCAGGTGAGGAACAGGAGTGCGGCAAGGATGGTGATGGATGCCATTGAGGATACCCGGGGGTGATGGTTCTTATAAGGAGTTATCCTTTGTTTGGTTGCAGAAAGTCTGCCAAAG